TATATATATAATGTAAATAAGATTGCAACATAATTTAAAAAGCTAAAATTTTTCCGATCTATAGTATAAGAAAATTGAACTAAAAAGAAAATTCATTTATTGGGGAAGGGTTTTCTATGTAATTTAAAATACTTACGAAAAAGGGGAGATTTTCTATTTTGCATGCAACCTGATCTGTAATTGAACTATAAACATTCGACTAAAAGGTAGTGATTATAAAACAAGACATAAATACAAAGCACCTAGACGGTAAATCGTGCCCAATTCATATGCTATCGTAAGCTTCAATCTGAAATTGCAAGGATAACATTTCATTAAAGACCAGACACATCATCAATATAAAATCCTACAACATTAAAAAGTATATATATATTTGGCACAAGAGTTGACAATGGTGTTCGCCTAGCTATATTCTAATTCATTTCAACGTATTTATAACATTATTTTTTAATTATCATATATAATAATGCAAAAAGTGAATCTCATTATATACAATAAACACAACCCTAAACCCTAAGCTATAAATTTATTGATTCAAGCTTAGTTTCGAGCCCCATCCATCGGTGAAGTTTCGATCCAAACACAAAGTTGGTTCGTCATCTTCTCAAACGAAGCCTCGCTCTAATCAAAGAGATTTTTTTATATTGAGGGGAGAAAAATTCATAGAGAATTTTTTGACATGACAGAATAGAGCATATTAATTATAAAAAAAGCACCTTTTTTTTATGTGAATTTTCTTATGACAAATGCAATGCATCGATCATCTTTGCAATTATTGAACCGTGATATGTCAAGTTGAGACGTGGTCGGCCTTCTCTCGGTCAGTGGCATTGAATCTAATAATTAATCCAATCCTTAATGCAATTTTCAACTCCGTAACACCATATTCACACCTGTCTTTTCATTATAAAAGTGTCTTCTTCTTTATCAAATAAAAGTTGCTTACATTTTAAATTAATTAATATTTATAAATTACCAATACTTTTACATACATACCTCATAATTTAAATGCATTTATATATTATATCTAACACCAATAAAAAAAAATAAAAATTAAATAAAACAGCTGATATTATTAATAAAATACTAACCCAGCCACCAATATGTTAAGCATCACAGTGGCCCCCACCGCTATCCCCGCAAGCTCTCCCACCTAATTAACAGCAACAAAACCCGTCATTAAGCTAATTAATCACATAACAATCAAACAGAAACACAAACAGAGCAAAAGAGAAAGAGATATGGACTGACCGCTCGAGTATCCTTCGCCACCGCCGTGACCACAAAGAGCAGATTGAAGCTGATGACAAACTCGATAAAGAAAGCCTGAACCGTACTCACGGTTACAGAAGGCACCGTAACTCCGCCGGCGAGGTAAGGATGGAAGATCCCTTTCAGAGCAAAGGAGGCGCAGATGGAGGCGGTGACCTGCGCGGCGATGTAGGCCGGAACTTGAATCCAGGGAAAGTGGCGGAGGACGGCGAAGGCGAGGGTGAGAGAGGGGTTGAGATGTGCGCCGGAGATGTGGCCGGTGGAGAGGATCACGATCATGACGGCCAGACCGGCGCAGCCCGCATTGCCGATTAGGGTTTCTGCTCCGTCGTATTTTTGGTTCACGATTGGGGCCGCGGTGGCGAAGAAGATGAGGATGAATGTGCCCACAAATTCGGCTCCCAGCTGGGATGTAAATGGATTTGATTTTTTTGAATGTAGCGAGCTTTTGAGCATAAATAAAATTAAATTTCAAGGCTTTAAATTTATTCTGAGGTTTTTACTTAACATTTTAACCCTTCAAAATTTTAAATATAATATTTTAACCCCTCAAAATTTCCACTCCATAAAACAAGATGATTGTAATTCATTAGGGCTGTCAAAACGGCTCGTTGTTCGCGAACAGCTCATGTTCTACTCGTTAATAAGCTCGTGTTCGGCTCGTTCGCTAAATTAACGAGCCGAACATATTGTTCATGTTCGGCTAATTTTGACTCGAAATATTACTAATTATATATATATATACCTTTGATGAATATTATTTTTAGAAAATTTAATTGACTACAAGGCTACAAAGATTTATAATCAATTAAAAGTATTAATGAAGAATATAGGATAAAAAATATTAAATTAGATTCAAATGATGTTTTAAATTTTGTCCCAATCCTTAAAATCTTATTGCTACGAGATTAGGGTTGTCAAAATGACTCTTTGTTCCTGAACGGCTCGTGTTCAGCTCACTTCGGCTTCCTAAACAAACGAGCCGAATACGAACATTGACTACACGAGCTGAATTTGGGCTCGCTCGTGTTCGGCTCGTTTACACCCCTATAATTCATTACAAACTAAAAATAAAGAATCCAATAAGCTTTCAAAACAGCAAAAAAAAAACAAATATAAACAAATAAAAACAATTACCTCGGTGAAGAAAGCAGGATTAAAATCTAATTAATTAATTTAAAAAGCCTCGTGCAAAACGGCCACGTCTGAAACCTCTAAAGGTATATGTTCTATAATGACAAAAGAACAATACGAATAATTGATATGTGATTATTGAAGGCTTTAATCGTGAATTATTGCGTTGGAATATTGAAGATAACAATAACAAACCTTAATCTACACCTAATATGCTCATTACATATTTCATCTACATATATTAAATAATTAGGTTCTATAAAACGATTATTTATTACTATTTTTAATCTATTGTTAAGGCTGTTGATGATACAATCTCGCGCCAAATTGGAGTCGGCTGAAAATTGGCTTGAATGCATTAAGTGAGGCTAGAAATTGGCTTGTTGCCCGGTATCTTCGATTTCGAGCCAACTTGGCTTAAAATCATATCGAATTTGGTCTGACTCGAGACTAACATGAGATGACGCAAATTGAGTTATTTAGATTTTTTCCAGCTCAAAATCGAAAAAAAAAAAAATTCGAGCAGATTCATCATTCATGTACGGCTCAAACTGGTTAAAAAAATTTAAATTTACCATTTCTGCTCGTTTATTTCAGTCCGGTCTAAATTCAATCAAAATTCAGATCAAATTTGGAGCCATTAACAATCTTTGGGCTAAATTCATAACCCTACGTGTAAGCATAGAGGAATAAATGCTTTTTATGTTTGTATTTACTATAAAAAATATCATTTAGCAATCAGTCATCGTATTATGACAAAGAATATGACAAACGCTACAGATAGGGTTGCTTAACGCGATTTATAGTGATATAATGAAATACTAATTAATTTTATGTGTCAATTATTTTATACAGAACTGTTTGAAAGAAATATATTTTTCTCTTAGTAATTTTATCATTACCTTACAGTCAACCAAATTGACCCTTATATATATATATATATATATATGATAAGAGTTGGTAAAAAATAAAAATAAAAATTGCAGAAATAGCAAATAATTTTATAAATAGCGTTATTTCTAATACATTGCATGTAAATGCCTAAAATTTTGTCTCTTGTCTTAGCATCCTATTTTCAGTGCCTAAAATAGAATTCTCAAAGTTTAGTATAGAAGGGTAAATAGGATAGTCATATTTAAAGTAAATTCTAACTATTAATCATTAATTTTTAGTCTTATTATTCCTTAATTAATAAAAAAAGAAAAGAAAAAAGAGCATTTAAGAACGAAAAAAATACATAAATAAAAGGCGGAAGAACCCTAAAAGTCAATGAGTACAGCCAAATAGTTTTCTTTCGTATTCCTGTTCGCGTTGAATCGATAACCGTGCTCGCAAATGGCAAAATTCGGCTCGATTTTCAATTAACTATCAGAGTATAAAAACAAATTTGGGAAGGATTAATAAAGATAAATTTTAGGACTTCAATTTTTTATAACATGAGAATTTAGAGGCATTTGCATGCATACCACATAATTCTCATATATCTATATATTTAAGATCCTTGCTTTCATATTTACAAAAATAACATTCAAAATTCATCATCACACCAAAATTTTGCGACATGAACCTTTTTCTCAATTATGCATTGTCATATTTTAATTTTAAGTCAAATAAATTAAGATCATTTTTTATAAAATATGTAAGTCTTCTTAAGTCCACTCTACTCTTCACCAAATAGTCGACATTTAATATGATCAAATCATTTAAGACGATGACTTTCTGTAATGTTGTCCTTCAGGCACATCAAAATTATCACTCTTACTAATTATCTTAAATAAAATACACATATTTACACATAAATTTCAACATCAAAATATGTAAATCTAATATTATAAATGTTAGATATATAAATACATGAATGTAAATTTCTTAAAAAATTATTAATTTGTCTCATTATAAATTCAGTCGCTCAATTCTCGTTCAACCAATTAGACTTCTCACCACTCATTTAATGGCACCACACCGGTATTTCTGTGCACTGTCAATTCCGAGCGTCGGTGGAGAAAAGTACAACAGTGCATGCGATGCGAAGTTTCATCATTTTAATTAATTAATCAAGATTCCTAAAAGGGATTAGTGATGATTAAGCCTCTAATATAACAATAATCTACATTCATGCGGACATCTAATTATACTAAAAATTGGTGAAACACAGGTCGGACGAAACAAAAAAAAGTACCTTGCGAGTGAGCGACACGTCGGGCTTTGGGAAGGCAGTGATACACGATTGGGGAGACATCCAGGAATCAACGGGCAGGCATTTGCCGCAGCTCTGGATGGCTTTTCGATCGTATGACAGAGAATCCACCCGGAGTGACGAGAAGAGCGGCGCTCCGGGAGTGCCGGGCGTTGCCGGCGCCGATAAATTAGGGCTCTCAGCATCCATCGGCATTGAAAATTCACTGTTTTGCAAAATTACCTTTTTTTTGGGTGAAAATTACATGATTTGACGATTTTTGTAAAGGTTTGGTTTTTTTTTTTTTATGAATTTTTTGGGAGGGATTGACTTTCGATGGAAAAAAAGTTACATGATTTGGAGTTTTTATAAAGTTTTGATTAAGGGATAAATGGGGAAGGGGGGAAAGCCAGATTAAGGAATTATAAGAAAGAGATTATCTATAAATTTCTTTTTTTTCTTTTTTTTTTGTTGTTTTTTGTAATTTAATGGATTGGGAATTGGAGAAGGAGAAGTTACATAATTAAAATATTTTTTTGAGGTGTGGTTAAGGAATAGGAGGAAAGGGATCCAGGCCTTCAAAAGTACTACAAGCTGCAAAAGAAGAAAATGAAAAAAACATAATTTTGCTTTAAGACATGATATATTTAGGAAATTTACAGTTTAAGCTGCAAGAAAGATTAAGGGATGCTCACAGATTAAGTGAAGCCTCGGAGCTTTCCTCTGTTTGCTTCCAGGTTGGTATGATACTTCCTCGGAGAAAGAGAGAGAGAGACTGACAGACGGGGACAGAGAGAGAGAGAGAGAGAGACACAGAGAGATGAAGCAGCGCTTAGGAGGAGGGAACCATTGGAATTATATGAAGAAGGGTGGTGGTGGTCAATGGTAATGAAACCAATGCAAAAGCAAGCACTAATTTAATGAAAAAAACTAATAGTTTTGATTTAAAAAAGATGCATTTACTTATGTACCGCCCAATTTTTATATAATTATATTTCAGACATCTAAAATTTACTTTTTACATGAAAAACAAAGTTAGCAGCTCTTTATTCAGGAAAAATTATTCCATGCAGATCGAACACCGCACGTAACAGGTGATTTATGGTCAGGATATATTTCGGTGGATCCCACCTAATTTTAAAAAAAAAAAACTGAAATAATCTTGACCGTAGATCACCGTGATCTACAGTCAGGATCGGACACCGCATGCAGAGATGCAATAATTTCTCTTTTATACAGACACCCATAAGAGTAAAAAGTCCTAATATGTTCATGGACAATTTTTTTTATATATTTTTAAAATAAATAAATTTAATAATTTATCATGATTAAATCTAATAAAAATAGTTTTTTTTTTTTTTTATTGGGACAGATTATAAAAACATTTAAAAAGTAAGGGATCAATGTAAAAGACAAACAAGTTGTTCGCATGTAAAACTTATTATTATTTAATTCCAAAGAATTAAATCATAATTTTTTTCCAACTAGTATTAAAAATACACTAAAAATTTTAAAATATTCTCAGTTAAATAACCTATAAAAATTAAATATAAAAATTAGGCTCCACCTTGTTAGCGAGGGCCTCTTCAATTTGAACCAAATAATCATACTTAACATTATCTTGCTTCATTATTTAAAGCATAACGCAATAATACTTAAATAAATTAAATGAAAAATCAAAATTATTACATATATTTTATTTGAGAGGGTGTACATTTAATCAATCTCTATTTTTATATAATTTTAATTGAAGTGTTTCTTTACTTTTACTCTTCTATAAAGTAATGAACGTTGACAAAGTTGATGGGGCCAACTAATTACTTCTCACTTACCAAAATAAATATCTTTTTTTTTTTTTAAGCAATTTCAGATGAGGGGCACTCGCATCGTAAAATTTGAGTCATTTTTGTGTATGTTGTGTCTGTACAACGGTCGCGATATACTTGATTGCTGCTTGTTTTTTTTTTCATCTCTCTGTTGCGATCGGAGAATTGCCGCCGTTGTCCGGACGGAGCTCTGCGTGGAAGAACCTACTCAAAAGTTTTTCCATAAAATTGGGGCCAAAGGTGTCAAGCTAAATAATAATAATAATTAAAGGCAAATCAATTAATTATTTAGTTGGATTAGGGTTTTAAATCTCGATGTACTTAATCTTTAAATTGGTTTCGAGTTGACTCGTAAATCAAGCTTAACCCAAATGCTCAAATTTGACCTGAAGTTAATTTGATGCGAATGATAGTTATACTTTATATACGTAAATCAAGCTTAACTCGGGTTAGCTCGTAGGATGAAGATTAGTAGGTTTCCATCAGATTTTTAAAACGGCTTAATAAATGTACTCTTGAAACCGGGTTAAATCAATCAAATTTGCGCGATTCGGTTCAGTAATTTGGTTTTGAAAAAATAATATATTAGCTTAGCTTTAATTTTATGTTGTAATCTTAATAGTTATTATATAATAAATTGACTATAAGTCCTGAAATAGTGTGATATGCATGAAGAAAAGCAAAGTTAGAAACTGATTAAAAGTCATGAACATATTGAGCATTTATCTCAGATGGATTAGGTTTTTCAATCATATGTTCATAAAACTAATTATGTATAGAAAGAGTATTTTGCTTTAAAAAGTTTAATTTGTAGTCACATATAATAGTGCTAATATTATTTATTAATCAGTCATGATATACACTGAATATAGAGGCATGACTCAAAGCTTGAGAAAATTTTTAGAATAAGAAATATTCAAACTTGAATTAAAAATTATCAAGAACATCAATTTCAGCAAATATACAACTAAACTTACCAGATGACAAAAAAAATGGTTCAATCTGAATTAAATCAAATCTATATCAAGTCATTGTTAAGCTATTTTTGGATGTTTTTGGTGTCAAATTGGAATATCAAATGAGTTTCAATTTCTGACAAGCCTAAAGTAAAATCGAGTGTCTAAACAAGATGGGTCGAATGAAACTTGATGAGTCAGATAGTTGCATTATAATATGATTAATGCTTTGCACGCTTAAGAGGATTTTAGAAAATCTGCAATTTTATGAATTCTTGGCATTTGTTTGTGTAAATGCCTTTTACTTTGCATAACATTAAGAAATAACGTGATAATGTATGTAGAGAATAACAATAAAAATCATTTTACGTTGGTGCTTTATAAAGGGGTGAACGGTCCGAGTTCTAGCTGATTTAAGGCCGGGTCGAAATCTGGTAGAAATTTTTTTGAACGGATCGAAATCGGATCATGGATCGATCTAGTATATTTCGATCCGATCTAGTGTGGATCGATCCAATTATCGAGCCGGCTCAAATAACGAGTTGGCTCGAAGGCCATTTTTGGCTCATGAGCCAGATTGGTCCGGGACGAACCCGCCTTGACCTGCTCGATCAACCCAATAGAAAAAATTGTATATTTTTTTTAAGATGTGAACCACTGCCACTCCGCTTAAGCAAAAAAGAAAAACCTCACCAACTGAGTTGTATGTATATAAAACTAAAAAATTAGGTGTTTTATACATAAATACAAAAGAATTTATTTCGATACCGATCTGATCCCGATCTGGGCAGAGGAAGGATTTAAATACATTTGGTCTTTTAATTTGGCTTGTAGCTCGACTCGAATGGTTTGATCCGAGCTAAAATTCGATCTGATTTTCGAGCGATTCACGAACTTCGAGCCAATTTCACAGCCCTAATACTTTATGAGTGTACAACTATAATCTTTTAATAATTGATACTAATTAAATTATTTAATTTAATCAATTACAAATTTTAATTAATTCAAGATATTTGAGTAGTGATAGCTATAATTTTGAATTTGGAAATAGGATCATCCCTATATTTTTTTCAATAAATACATAGTCCAAATAAAGTGATTTGACATGGTGAGCCTAAATAGTATCAACTTAACGCATTGATTAAGCATTCAGAAGTATAAATAAACTCCTAATGATCTTTGAGGGACTAAATGCCCTTTGAATTTTTGGTTCCTATTGTCAAAATAAATGCCTAAATTAGAGAAGTCTAATAAGTTTTTAAGATCAATTAACTATGGGATCACCAAAGAAATGAGATTTAAAAAAAAATCAAATGGGTGGTGAAAATTTTTAAATTTGGAGAATTTCAGAGCTCTTCTGTATCACTGACTGCAAGACATCAACTAGTAGCATTGTTTGTCATCGCCAATACGCGACATTGACCGTGAGTGAATATCTCAAGTCTATCGTCATCATTATCAGACAATAATTCTCGTCTAATGACTAATTTCCTTCGTCAACATTTAACATTAAGCTTACGGGTCACCTGATTTTTCATCTGCTCAAGAGAACAATAAAGTTGAACATACTTCTTACTATAGGTCTAACATTTCACTTTGATTGTTGTTTGATGCCAACAATCGATGTCTAACATTGATTAGCTTTTGACACAGGGCATTAATCCTACAGATTATCTATCCTTTTCTTGAGATAGAGAACAATTGAGTCACAATCTGTGGTGTCGCTTGACCTCTACCATTTCTAATTGACAATCACATATTACCACACAATGAGCAATGTTTAATGTATCATAGCTATTGATATTTTACAATCATCACTTAAGATTCTTGAATAGATGATGAGTAATAAATATGATTATTGCTTGTCAAAAGATTGCAATAGCAGAGTGATAATTGAACGTCTCAATATTATATGAAAATTCAACACACACACACATTAACAATTCAAAAAGAACACAAGAAGACATGGATTTTTTACATGAAAAGTTTTGAAAAGTGGCCTAGATAAAGTATTCACTATAAATGTGTAATTATAAAGATAAACAATTGTCATACCATTAGGAAAGAAGAGTTAGAACATTACACTAAGTATAACACTTGTTCGTGAAAAATGTACACAACACTTTAAGAGTTTGAAGAGAGTTGTCATATTCTGAGTACAATGGCTATAAATAGTTAGTTGTTATCAAAAGTAATCGTCAGATTTGTAATGCAAGGTTATACGCTACATTGTATTTAGGATACTTAATAATAGAATTTTCAGGATATTTGTTGCATAATATTCGGGAATACATCATTCCACAACAAAGTTCGCTAACGACAGTGAGCAAGGGGGCGGCCAGTGATGATCGACGGCAACTAACAGATAGAGGTTGAAGGTGGTCAGCGGCTACATTAGCTAGAAGTTAATTATCATCAGGTTTTCAGTCCAAAACACCACTAGAATTTGACTCATTCTTCTTTTCTTTCTAGTGAAGAGAGTGAGTCTATTTATAAGTCTAATGGGAGGGGCATTTTAGTTTTTTGGCGATTAACTCTCATAATCACCTAATTGAACCGTCCACATTGATTTATATTTATCAAAGGAGAATATTTTAATGATTTTAGGACTTTAATGACCTCAAAATTAAGGAATTTTAAGTTCATTTGGTCATACAATTGACAATCTCAAACCTCCAAAGCTATTTTAATAGTTTGATTTGGACTAAATTGGATTGATATCAAATCTATTTTGGTATCAGCGGGTATCGAGACAGTCACTTTGACTATAAACTTCTTGAAATTGAGGTCTTGAATAGCCTTTAATTTGGATTTAGAATATTTCATATTCAAAAAATATCTCAAAATTTGTGTCAAATGATAAAAGTAGTTTGATGACTCATTAATGATTGAGCCATCTTTAAATCATAATCAAATTATCTTTAAAGCATCTTCCAATCATGGACAAAGAAATATTGAATAAACTTCAAAGCAATTTTGAGTTATGAACCGAACTAAGATTGAATTTGTTGTAAACTATGACCAAAAAAATTTTTGAGCGATGATTGAACTATGAATAAGAAATGGATCTTGTCCGAAATACTTTGAATAATATGTGGATAGACTTCAAACGAAGATCA